GCTAAGTTGCTGCAATAAATCCGCTCCAGGTTTCGACCGAGTCATATACGAAATGCTAAAACATCTGCCCTATAAAACTCAAAATGCCCTCCTTTCTCTGTATAACGCTGTTTGGTTTTCCAGTGAAATCCCCACTCTTGGAAAGAAGCCATTATTGTCCCGATTCTAAAACAGGGCAAGGACCCATCCTTGGGCTACAATTACAGGCCTATTGCCCTGAACAGTTGTCTGTGCAAGGTCTTCGAAAAGATGATAAATTGAAGACTGGTGCACTATCTTGAAACAAACAATCTACTTGAACCACAGCAGTGCGGGTGTAGAGAAGGAAAAATTCACATTGAGGCACAAATATGCGACGCTTTCGTCCATAACCAATTTTTTCTTTCTGTGTTCCTCGACATAGAGAAAGCCTATGACACTACGTGGCTTATTGGCATACTCACAGACTTCTCACAAATAAGTGTGCACGGAAAAATGTTCTCTATAATTGAAAGCTATCTGTCTAATCAGACATTCCGTGTTAGAGTGGGCCCTGCTGTATCACAAACATTTGTGCAAGAGACAGAAGTATCGCAAGGAGGTGTATTGAGTTGTACACTTTTTATAAAAAAATGCATCCCTTGTGTATGTCCATACCACGAAATGTATTTTATATCACATATGTCGATGACGTACAAATTGGCTTTAAATCATGCAGGCTTTCAATGTGTGAACAACAGGTTCAGTTGGGCTGGAATAAGCTTTTGATATGGGCAGATAATAACAGGTTTAAACTGAACCCTCAAAAAAGCACTTGTGTCTTATTCTGCAGAAAGAGAGGCCAATATCCTGATCCGAACGTTCACCTGCATGGTCAATGTTTGTTAGTTAAAAGTGAGCATCAGTTCCTAGGCCTAATATCAGACAGCAAACTAACATTCATACAACATATTGAGCACCTAGAAAACAAGTTCTTGAAAATTATGAATATCTTAAAGTATTGTCATGCAATTCATGGGGTAGTGACAAGAACTGTCTCGAATCTGTACAAAAGCCTGATACACTTAGATTATGGTGCAATAATATACCAGTCTGCAACACCAACTGCCCTAAAAATGCTCGACCCTGTTCACTGTCTTGGAATTCGTCTTTCTACCGGTGGTTTTAGAACTAGCCTTGTATAAATTTAGCCTCTACATTGAATCGAATGAGTGGTCGCTACATCTCCACAGATTCCACCTATCCTTTCTATACTTTTTTAAAGTAAACATAAACAACAAACACCCCGTACACTCCACCATCAGTGACTTGTCCATTTGTCTTCTACACTCAAACCTAATTATAACAGTCACATCTGCCACAAAAATACTTCTTTATATCCAAAATTTTTTTATAAAACACTGTGTCTATGGCGAAGTTATTGGTCACTTACTTCGTTTTAACCGATAATCCGTCATATGCGAATTGGTTATATTGAGTTTTGAATGTATTTCACAACCGCCATGCTCTATGCACTTCGTTTGAGGAGTCCAGCTGAAGAAATGGGGGTGTCACTTTGGGAACATCGTTTGGCTGCTCTTGCTGTATATGTGCTGCCATGGCAGTGGCAGCTCATAGATTGTGATATGTCCTTCGTTGAAGTTACTAAAAGTGCACCTATTGCACATATTTATGCACACTTCCTTGAACTGCAGCATAAATATTCATGTCCGGAATTTTTCACCGATGCCTCAAAGACTCGCACTTCTGTGTCCTACGCCACAGTTGGTCTATCTTTTTCAGACGTAGGTATTTGCACCCCAATACGAGCATCTTCACTGCAGAGGCATACGGCATATTATCAGCCGTCAAACATATAAAAGAATAGAAACTCTAAAAAGCTGTGATATATACTGATTCTCTAAGCGTGGTAACAGCTCTGAAATTTCTTAAAAAAAAAAAAAAACACGAATTTTACCCTCGTCTCTGTCTACTCATTTGTATGCACGATCTATGCTCAGCAACAGTCTGTCATAATCTGCTGAGTGCCAGGACATCGCAAGATTCAAGAGAACGTGTTAGTGAATCAGCTCGCTGTTTCTGCCCACGAGAATGCCTCATCAATACATCGATATCTGCTTCCTGAACTTGACCTCAAACACTTTATAAAATGAAAGCTCGGGGATTATTGGCAGCATTCATGGGATAAGCAAACAAAAAGTAAGCTTCACCTCATCAAGCCACATATTGCAAATTGGCCGCCAATATCGAAGTTGCGCTACACAGAAGTAACTCTTACCAGATTAAGAATAGGACATACACACAGTACACACTCACACCTTTCGTCTGGTGGCGATCCACCTCTCTGTGAAGAGTGCTGTGGACCTCTCACCGTGCTTCATGATTTAATACAGTGTTAACAACTGGATGTAATTAGTAGAAGAAAACACCCCCTTTCCCTTCTGCCGTCAAATTTTCTTGCACCCACTGATGTTTATAGGTAGTGAACCGCTATTTAGTTATCAATTATTGCTCGTGTTTTTGAAGGATGTAAAAAGTTTTCGCGTCATATTTTCAGGCATTACTGTAGCATCAATTATTGCTCGTGTTTTTGAAGGATGTAAAAAGTTTTCGCGTCATATTTTCAGGCATTACTGTAGCATGACCTCTCCGAGAAGAGGTCGCTGCTGCGATGACTACATTGAAGAAAGCACTTGCCTCGTGGCCCTTGGACACAAGGGCATAGACAATCGAGGCACTTGTGCTAATGCCATACATGTCCACCATGGTTTTATTATCACAGACTTTTGCCATTCATTAACGCTACTCATATTTCACGTCATGGTCATGATTTTAATAATTATATGCTTTTACCTGCCTTAGCGCAAGGAATTTCAAAGCCCTTATGCAGCCACTTATCATAATAATTGATCACATCTCTAGTCCCATGACCTGGCACTCTTTGACCATTGAATGGCCCCTGCACCACAAAACACCAAACATCGTGAACTTTGCTCCGATTCTTTTAGAAAAAAAGTGCTTTCATTACGCGAGTAAATCTAGTAATTAACCACTAAAGTGTGTGTCCTATGCTCCTAAGACTGTTTTTAAAAATACCCAGCAACACTTTTTGATTATAGTTTGGAAAATGCTGCCGATTAGTAAGCGAGGCTTCTGAGAATACACTCTTTCTTGACAAACGATGCCATAAGCTCAAATGGCCTTATCATATGCTTGAAGTCCACGCTGATTGGCTGATTTAAGCATCGGGAGCTGAACAGTTTCTGCGCTCATTACAAAATGGCATGACAAAATGGCATAAGCTCAAATGGCCTTATCATATGCTCGAAGTTTACGCTGATTGGTTGATTTGAGCATCGTGAGCTGCACAGCTTCTGCGCCCATCACAAAATGGCATGAAATGCTCGTGCACTCGCTTAGACGATTCTACAGTAAGCCAGCTGCGTGATTTTAACAAAAAAGGAAGAAGTTTACACAATGTATGTAAAGCTAGAGAAATAGCGAAGCTAATCAATGTTACAGGCCTAACGTGTACATTTTAGAAGATGATTGGTCTTTTCTTGGAACAGAGAGAATAGAGTCGCACCACAGCCTGTCACAGACCATTCAAAAATGTCCAAACTCCAGCCCCAGAAACTAACATTGAAATTTGGCTGTGGCACCCACGTTAGAAGCGTAGACCTTTTGTTGCTTGGTTTGCGCCACGCCATGCTTAGTCGGTGCAGCTAATGCATGCCAAGTTAACTTCTACAAAAAACTTTTGTTATTACATACACATAGTTTATTTGTAGTGGCATCAAGCAATATCAAAAAAATGCTTGTGCGAATTTTCATAAATGAAAATTCGGCATGATATTCAAGATAACTTACAGACATTCAGAAATAAGTTCAACAAAGTACTTTTTCGATAAAAGTATATTTTTGCTCCAACTCTAAAGACTGGGGAATGGCTTCTTTGTTCTAATCCTAATCTTCTCGTCGTATGCTTTCGAGGTGTCTCTCCTTCATCATTATCCGAGTCTGAACTCGTCACCAAATCCTCATCTGACAAATTGAAATCAAATGAATCAGGTTTGGCGTTTGGGGAATAGTCTGTATCGAAAGAACTGTTGCTCAACTCCCTAGCACCAGAGAAAACGGCGCGCACCTCTGTAGCATAAGTGAACAGCGTGAGCGAGTGCACGGAAGAAAATTGTGTGGTTGTGTGCTCGTCCAGAAAGCAAAACGAGTGAAGAAGCTATAATAATCTCTCAATATTCTCTCAGGCGGAATTGGTTTTTCTAATTCTTCAGACCAGGAAACGCAGCGACATCCTTTGTGTAGTTTAGTACCAAACAAGAACGGATTTAATCGCGACTCAAAAATCAATAAATGAGTGTCACAAGTGGTCACCCGTTGAGACACTAAAGAGTTATCATCTTTGCAGACATGAGAAGCGATAACTACCCGAAAGTTGAAGCCGAAACTATGCACACCACTTGCGCATCTTGGCAAGCAAAGGTTGCCAAGCCGCTTCGAAAAGCATAAAAAAAAACAATGAAAAGACATCGATATATGAAAAAAATTTGATGTATCTCTTAAGCATTACAGCAAATGCCAAGCAATAAAAAAATATTGAAAAAAAGCACGCGTTTTGAACTAGCCGCACTATGCATGTGCTCAAGTGCGCAAGCAATAATTGGTGTTGCTTTGTGAAGCGAAAACAAAACAATGGAGACACATCAGTGCGTGAAAAAAATTTCACTAATGCCCTGAACATGGCAGCACATGCCAGGAAGGAAGAATGATCGAAAAAGGCATGCTCTAAACATACAGGCGTTGGCTGTGATGCTGTACATGTTCAGCAAAAACCCTAAAAGGGTTAAGGTCATGTAGAAGCAGTGCATGTGAAAGTTCATTTAGCATTACTGTGCATATATCTAGATGCGCTGACTTAGTTGGTGTTTTGTAGTGACCTAGTCCTGTGCCTAAATTGCAGAATGCCTCACATTTAAATAATGAGGGCTTCTTTGTGTTTGCAGTGTTTCTGATGCCAGTGCTAGGCTGCAGGCTTTGTGGCAGGTGGTCAACAATCTACCCCAGGCCAACCAGGACAATTTAAGGTATGTCACACACATTGTTTTGCTTCTCATGCTTTTTGTTAAGGACAATAGCCTTTCCTGGAATACTTCAATGCAGAAATTTTGGTCAGTCTGTCTGTCCCTCTGTTTGTTTGTCTGTCTGTCAATCAATTCAGCCACCTGGAGAAAGTTCGACCCCTGCTCAACGCTCACCATTCTTGATCTCAGAGCTGCGTTCATACCTGTGAACATTCTCAATGAAAAAAGCAAATATTGTGCATATTTGAAGTGCATCATCCATACGTGAGTATTAGGTGCTGTGTCTTTTTATTTAGAAAATGCACTAATACATAATCCTAAAGACCGCAGTGTTCATTACGCAACACTCACATTGCGATGCTGTGGACGAAAAGCTGGGTGTTTTTACGCTTCGCTCAAGCGACACAGCACTGCCACACACCAGTAGCTCTCTGTCCCAAAAAGCTTCCGTTTCTTCACATTGCTGCCTGATGGTGCCAGATCTCATGCAGAGGAGTGCCGCAATTCATTCATTTGCCTCTGCTCGCACATTAAGGCTCTTTTAACTCTTTTGTTACCACGCCTATTCAAATCGATCACTAGTGATTGACGCTTTTAGATCATCAGTTTTGGCATGTTAAATTTGTTTCTCATGTACCCAGCACTTTCTAGTGTTAGTCCAGCCACTCCACTTTAGGAATGGATTTGAATTTACCCGTTTTGGCAACATAGTGATTTTTACAGACTTTTGCACAAACCGATGTGCATGTATTATTGGAAAAGTGCACTGGGCTGACGAACTTGACAGAAGTCATGCCCTCGTGATTATGGTGCAGTAACATCAAAGTTCTGTGATGAAAAGAATCTCTGCAAGCCAAACATTGAATTAAAGTGTCAGATTCTCAATTTGACTCGGTTGAGCAGTAATACTTGCCAGGAATTTATGCCAGATATTCAATAGAGAGCTGTTCCTAAAAGTCGGAGAAAATTTATTCGACAAAAAATATTTAAGAAAGTCCGCCACCTGTTAGTCAGAAAAGGCCACCTCGACACTTTAGTTTCCAGCAGCTTTGGTGCTGGTTGTATCAGTATTTCAGACACAAAGTCCCATCTACTGTCACGAGTCGCTCTTATGACGTCGTCGTAGAGCGTGCATGGGTGCGCACCAGTGCTGCAAAACACATGCACTGCTCCAAACTTTCTTGCAACTCCACCTGAGTCGAGTGAGGACGAGCTTAAAGCTCGAGGATGACAGCACCTCGGCTTCAAGTTTTGTGGCGACAATGTTTTGCGTCAGCCTGAGACATGAACCAATGAATGCCGCAGGCATTCATGGGTTTGTTTGTGTACATCCTTAAGTTGTCTCCCCTGCCTCAAGTGCGTATAGCTCCTGACTGTTGTGCACAATCTTATAGCTACTCTGGTTACGTTCGTGGCCCACACTTCTCCGGGGCGCAATGTGCTGGCGCTGGCTGCAGAACTTCTCCTAATGACAAGAAGGCTGCCCAGAGCACATCTTGGCCCTGACTATGGAGCAGCGCGAAGCATTTTAGAACTTCGCGTGATATTGTGTTTTTTAAATATGATATGTGCAAAAATGCAAAGAAATATTTTTGGCTGCATAATATGAAAACCCACATATAGCTCAGACCCGCATATAGTCCAGGGTGTAATTTGGAGATAGCAAACACAAGAAAAAATTTTTCACTTGAATATAGCGCGAGTAAAATGGAAAAATGTATTGACACACTTCATTCATTGTCGTTGGCGGACGCACACTTTTTCGAAGCACCCTTGTCGAAAGTGTTCTCCCACAGCACATCATTCTCAGTGCCATCAAGCGTGTTCGAGGTGTATCACTTTTTTAACGCGCGGCAAACGAGCACCTCGGGAATGCAGGCCCAAGCCTCGACGATCCACGAGCACGGCATCGCTGGCGAGGCCTGTTTCAGTGGTCCGGCAGGGGTCACTTCTGGTTCTCCGGACCTCATGCACTCCACGTACAGGTGCTTGACATGGTCCTTAAATGGCTTGTTAAGGCACACATCAAGCGGCTGCAGCTGCGATGTCATCCTGCGAATGACGACGAGCTTTGTGTGGGAGTCGCTTTACAGAGTCAGTCAGGTGATACCGAATCCTGTCAAGCACAAGCATCGAAGGGAGCCTCACCAGTGCTGCGAACTCTCGACACCGCACAAACTTTGTCCAGTCAAACACTAGCAATTGGTTTATCATCCCCTAGTCCTGGCAGCAGACGACGGCACTGTTTGAGAGCTTTTTTTTCCCATGGCAGCGTCTTTCATTTGAACACCGTGTAGGATGGTAGCTTCTGACCGTATGCACTGCAGGACAACATTACAGTCACTCGTGTGTTTTTATTTGCAGTCGATCGCACGATAACTTGCCTGGAACCTTTCTGATGCACTGTCAGTGCCGAGGGCATATCCAGGTACACCGGCGCTTGATTCTTGTTGCCGATACGGCCCAGCTGAAAGAGCACAGACTTTCGCAATGCAATTACATGCTTTTGAAACTTCACAAGGTCCTCTTCATAGCTCTTTAGTAGCTTCTGCGAGATCGACGTACGCCAAAGTAGGAAGAACCCAGCACAGCGCATGAAGAGAGACGCCCAATGCTTGCTCACATTTAAATCCTCCGGCTGAATGTCTTTGTCTTGGGTGATCTCCTTTGCTTTCACTTCTAGCAGTTCGATGTTAACAGTGAGATGTGCAGCTCGCTGCTCCCGCACGAAGTGTGTGAGTTCTCATTCCACGTCAGGAGATGCTCCATTTTCAGGGGTGAAGCTCCTTAAGATGGGGGTTCTGCAAGTTCTCGTTCTGCACCAGGGAATGCTTCATTTTTTTTGGCCCGTGAAAACTATTTTGCTGGCTGTAGCAAACAAAGAGGGTCTCCTTCTGCTTCCGCCAATCGTGAATACTCCACTCGTTGACTCTGAACTGCCACTCTGAGGAGCAGTTGCCAATGGTTTCGGCAGCAGTGGTAGCTTTCCTTTTAAAAGCACACGAGTACTGCCTCCATAGTGCTGACATGGTGTAAAATCACAAGACCAAAATCGTGGCCGTTCTTATGGGCGTCAAGTTGAAGCAAAGGTCACTGACCACCGTTGCATGCGTGGGTCTTTAATACCCAACGTCTTCATCCGCCGCTAACACTACCTTGTGCAGAAGTGCACAAACATTTGATGATGATGATAGCACCACGCTATGCCGAAACCAAAAGTGAATTTCGACCGAAAATTTTTGGCACCTGCATATAGTACGGGGCCGAAATTTCATGCCCTAAAATCTAGAAAAAAAACTCCAGGCTATAGCAGGCTTTTACGGTATATTGGAACACCAACCTATGTGGAGTGAGGTGTCTCATAGAAAGTGATGACGCTAGAGTAAATAGCAAAGTTTATTGCACATCTCATTTAGAGAGGGAATTATTCACATCAAGGGTATCCGTTTATATTGGAAGACCCGGAGACTCTTATCACAAGACAACAAAAGTTGGCTGAGAAAAGGGTACGAGTACACTTGTGTCTCACGAAAAACCATGCAATGCTTTTCCGCATAGCGTGAGCTACGAAGCAACACACAGTTTCTGATTTTCTTCCTCTATTTGAAAAGAAACACTTTGTACAACATTCATTATTTTAATACTCTTCCTTGGTCATTTATCTACAAAGTGTATATTCTGAATTTTTTTTTTCAACATTTTTGCATATACTATAGCATTTTAATTGCACTGCTTAGCAGCTGGCGACCAAAAACTGCACGCTTTTCACAATTTTATTCACTTTGAAATATTTTTGTTCTGCAACATATATTTTTTTGAAAGAGCGTTTCATTGTGCAAAGTTTGATATGCTGAAATGTATGCTGGGCACATCTCAAACTGGCGAAAACGTTCTTCCCGGGACATATGAAACATAACCGTTTTTATGGGGTAACCAAAGAGTTAATGCAGCGCTTCCAGACTATTGTTTTTGAACGTCCTTTGCAGGGAAGTAGGCAGATACGGGGCCTATATTTTTTTGCGTTTTCATACGGGCATTACGGATGCAATATGCACTGTCTTGAAAAGCAAACGAATGCCTTGCTGCTTAGTTTACAATGTATTCTTCAAGGTAGATGCAAGATTGGAGCCGGAGGGCATCCCATGCCTTGCAAGGTGCAGTTCTAGGTCTGCACCGAGAAACGCAGCCAGGCCTGCAATGAAGGAAGATAGTGTGTGCATACACACATTGCTATTGCAAAGGCTAAGTCCCCAATGTTCTTCCTCTTTTTGCAGGTATGTGGTGAAGTTCCTGGCTCGCCTGGTGGGCCACCGGGAGCAGAACAAGATGAGCTCGCAGAACATCGCCATCGTCATAGCCCCCAACCTGGTCTGGCCAAAGGAAGAAAACCAGTCACAGCACATGGGGTACACACTCACCTTGGGAGTTTTGCTCCCTCATTCCTCTTCCCACATGTTGGGTGGCAAAACTGGGCAGTCTGGTTATCTGCCCTCTTGGTTTTTACATCATCTTCCACTTAATTGACTTCTGCACCGACATATGAACATCGTTTTGTGTTAGGAAAAAGTAACAGGCAATGCAACTAAAAAGACAAAGCTGTGAGCAAGCTTGAAGCGGTGTTACAAGTGAGATAGTCACCTGCTTTACACCTTTAACTTAGCCACCTGAAGGGTTAAGCTAGCTGATTATCTGTGGCATAACCTTTCAGTTGCCATAGAGGAACTCTGCATCTCTTTGGGCAATAAAGCATGGCTCAGATGCGCCCAATATTTAGAGGTATACTAAATTCTTAATGTGTGCTCTTGTGACAGTGCCACAACACGTAATGCAATTTTGTATTGAGGGGGCCTTCAATATAGACCACACCAGTTGAACATCAAAGTTATCTCTTATAACATTTCTTGGTCCTTCTTTATGACTTGCCGTTCTTTCTTTCTTTTCCAACAGTGTCAACATGGGCATAGCCAACATGCACAGCTCTATCGTGGACACCCTTGTCAACTATGCTGACTGGTTTTTCCCAGGAGGTTGGTGCACAGCACTCTCTCTTTCAGCGCTATCTCCCGGTCTAAATCAATTACAAGCCTGGTCTATTTGATATTCGCTCAACTGTTTTCACCTGATCGCTAGGAGAAATGTGATTCCTTTATCAGGCGTCACATTCATTGAAGAAGCAAAGCTGAAGAGTTGACAACTATGCTGCTTTCTTGTAAAGAATGCAACTATATTAACTAGAAGTGTGTGAATATCAAAATTTTTGAATACGGATTGAATACGAATACATAGCTTTGAATACGAATCGAATATGGAATAATAAAGAAGTGCAATTTTTTTCCACCAATAAACTCCTAAGCCACACGTGTGCAGGCAGTACATGATTTTGATTGAGATATTTATCATTGGTAGGTTTGTTGCGATTACTTGCTGCCCCATTCGTTGCAAGCCGTTATCACGCTCCCATAAATTTCCATGCAGGCATCATCGTACTTATGCGAAATCATAGTAATCACTGCATGATCTACTGAGGCTCTTAGGGCAAATGCACAAAATTGTAAGTTCTTCGCAGTGACATATGAGTACGAATAGGCTTGTGCAAATAGTGAATTTCAGGTTCAAAGTGAATAGTGATTTTGGTTGAATAATTTAATATCGAATTCAAATAGTATATATGACTTATAACTGAAAAATGGGCATATTTATCATGACCTAACTAACCTGCAAAATTTTTTTTTATATATGAAATAGAGCCTCTATGGAAATTCCTTTTTTTTTTGTGTTCAAAAGAAGTAAAAACAACTTTAACTAGTAGCAAGATTTTAGTTTCAGCAGGATGCGAGTCATAATCCTTAAAATACTTAACATCTTAAGATTTATTTTACTTAGAGCACATAAGCCATCATAACTAGCTTTTAAGCTTAATAAAATGAATAAATTTAAGAGTAATACTTTCATTTAAAGGGGCCGTGCGACACTTTTTTAAGTAGCCTTGGAATGGATTCACTAAAGAAGCTTATTTATTACCTCATGAATACACTGCCGCAAATATTTTGAGAATCTGTCCAGTACGCACAGAGTTGCAAAATTTCTTGCACGCTGCAAGTGCATTCTCTTCTCATCCCAACGAAAGCACTGAAAGCTAAGCAGGGAGGAATGGCATGGGAAAAGAAAATAAGTCACACGTGCTTTCTGAGCTTGTGGAGTCATTTATTTGCCGAGAGAAGAGAGCAATATTTAACGGACTTTGAGAATTTATTGTGAATCGCATGCCGCGTGCTGCGCTATAATATTTGACTTGGGCGTCCTCGTTAGCCTCGACTACCGATCAGCAGCGTATTCTAACAATGCTCAAAAAGTGTTGCAGGGCCCCTTTAAATTTTTAGAGGGGCTTAGTAGAGGGGCTTTGTGGCAGAGCACACTTTTCCTGACTAGATGCTTTCATGATTTAGCATTACTACACTGCAGTGAAACTACATTTACAAGCAGTAATTTTGAAATAATATGCATGTATTTGTTTCTTGTAAATACTTCGAAATTTTCAATAATTTAAATTCGAGTCAATGTGAATTCGAATACGCCGCTATTCGTTTGAATATTTGAACCATTCTAATAATCGCACAAACCTACGAACGAATATTCGTGAAAATCGAATATTCAAAATTTTCTAATATGTAGTTATTGAATCGAATACGAATATTATTCCCCGAATATTCGAATCTCTCGAATATTTGCTCACGATGAATTTTAATGTACCAAATTATTTGCAAATAAACTGGAAGTCAGTTATGCACTCACTCATATATGATGGCAACTGACTGCATGCAATGAAGGATGAACCTGGATGGCAGGGCGACGTTGCACTTACTTGCACCTTAATGTAAACTATGCACGGCTTGTCATACGTGAAAAGAGTGGCTACTTGGGCTGGTTGGCATTTTATTTTTGAAAGAAATATGCTTTCTTATTGTACAGGGAACGTTTCAGAAACTTATCTGTTTTTTTTTTTTTCTAAAACGTTTCCTGTGCACTAAGAAAGTATATTTCTTTCAAAAATTGTCATACGTCTGAACCTTGAAGGGACGGAACAATCTTATGGCCTTTGTTATCCTTTTCTTGTTTACGCAAGTGTCACATGCTTTGGAGAGACATGTCTTCGACTTGTTCAATTGCTCAGTTGACTTGGGCTCGACCCTTTGTTCTCGGCTCATAGATAGTCTCTGATGCTGGCTGAAGTTAAAATACCCTTCTAGCTTCTAGCCTAGATTCACTTCTGTGGGGTAGTTCACGATTCCCAGTAGAAGACACCGCTAAAAGATAAGAGTAAGAAAGGATGAACCACTGTGCTGGTTTGTAGTTTGCTTTTGGTTGTTAGTCAGCACCATGGTTTGTGTAGTTTCTTTGTCTGTTTTTTAGCGCTCCCTTCTACTAGATTAACTTGGTGTTTCTTTGGAGTCCCACTAAGAGTGTGTAGACATGCGCGTTGTCTTTCGTCTCATGTGCAGAAGAAGACTTCTCCCCCTCCGCGACAAGGACGACCCCGCCGGCCGAGCCCTTGGGTCACCAGGCCACCACCAATGGTGATGTCGATGGTCACTTGGCAGGGTAGGGTGAGAGGGTCTTTGTTGCTCTCGCTTGCTTCTCGTTCTCACCAACTTGCTAACTCTGCACTGTTGCCTCCCTGGCTTTGCGGCAAAGTGTTGTCTAGCCGTGGCAAACCTGCATTGCACCTGCTTTTTGCACTGCCTTGTTACACAGATGCTGTTTGAGAGGACTCTGATGAAACTTCATTGGGCTCTAAAATCTTCTTGACAGAAATGCAGCACTTTAAGACAATCAGAATTCACAATCGATCTTGACTAAACTGGAGGAGTTTATGTATGTTTGTGTGTTAATTCTAAATATGCAGTTTCGAATATGTCATGAAATGCGAAGTGCTGCCCCAGTCCAGGCATATGGGAGAATGCTGGCAAGGTAGAATACTTACTGGGAGGCACCTGTCATTGCAAACAAAGAGAGCTTTAGTTTAGGAGTGAACTTCACCTTGCTGTAGCATGCTAATGTGACATGTCAACTTAGCTTTTCCAGCAGGCCTGTAGCCAAGAGTTGACCTAGACCCCGCCCCTCTTGAAATTTTGATGTAAGAGATGTTTTACTGTAAATTAGTGATGAAGATAGGTTGCTTTTAAGATAATCAAGACCTTCAGCTTCTGACCCCCTTTCTCTGATGAGAAAATGGACGATCGACCACCGCCATAGCTCAATTGGTACAGCACTGGACCCGTAGTTCAAATGTTGCAGGCTCTGTCGGCAGCAAGGCGTGTTTTTGTGCAATTTAGTTTCTTCACATTTGCATTACTACAACATCCCCTGTTCTTTCCTGGGCATTGTTTATTAATTCTGGATAGTATTGCATCTAACGAACAAGACAAAGCCCTTAAAACGTTCCTTCTTTCCTTTCTCTTGATACTAACTGCGATTTGCTTTGAACGGAAAAGTGATATTCACGCAAGTCTAATAGTCCTTTGAAAGGTAAGTTAGGTTGTTAGTTTCTGTAGGAGACAGAATTTTAATTCGCAAAGAAAATTCATAAAGAACAGGGTATGACACCATTTAGCAGTAGTGAACGCACCATGAATGCGGCGTGTTGCATGAGCCGACAGTTTGACCAGCAGACTTGCCTTCTTCAACGCTGCAATGCTGAAGAATGAATGTGTCTGCTTGTCAAAACATGTGCACTAGCAACACTCTGTGCTCACAAATTTTTCATCTCTTGAAGCTTCCATCTTTCCCTGAAGTTTTCTTCTTAATTGGTTGTCAAGCCTTAGTAGCAAAGGTGGATAATAATTTCTTACCATTTATTTATTAGAAACAAAATTGTCTGTCATGGACATGAGGCCTAATGTCAGTGGATGGAAAAAAAAATGCAACAATTTGCAAAAGGGCATGTGAATGAGATCAACAACAGTACAGAACTACTATGCCAAATCGGTTGATGCTTATTAATAATAAGATAATTACATCACATGTACATACAGGACATGATATTCTCACATATTGCCGTGAACTACCATGCACACTGAAATTAGCTCACAATTTTTAATGTTTTTTGCAAGCTATAACCATGAAAATGTTGGACAGTAAAAGCTCGTTATTTTAACATTCTTCAATTGTGATGCATTCTCTGGTTCCAGTGGGCTTTGTATTGATTAGGGGCATTAAAGTCTCATTCATTTGGTCATATTTTGCCATATCTCGGTTACTCTACTTGCTTAAGCCTTGCACTTTTTGATGAAAAACTGATAAAAAGTTGAGGGGTGCAAGAATTGCGGGGGGAAAGTTTTCCCCAAAACTGTACAGAGTGCTAAGAAGTGAAGAAAAAAAAAATAAAGTGGCCACAAATCGAGGTTTTCAGGCTAGCAACCAACTATTTGTATGCTGTGAGCAGTAATAATCAAGACTAACCTTAAAAGCACAGGTTCAACACAAAGCAAGATTTATTTGCGGACGCTAGAGCCACTAGCAAATAGTGTTCCAAGGGTCTTTGCTCGGGGACCCTTGATGTATTCAAAATGTACCACCTCAACCTGTGAATATTTCCAAGTCTTAGGACCATGCAAGGCACAACGCATATTGTGGGTGGCTTTCAGCTGCACGTGCTGTTGTTGTCAGTAGCAAACACAAAACTTGTAGACTATGAAGTGCCTGCTAGTGGCACTGTTACCGTTTTTAGTGCTTGGTCAATCACTTTCAACTCGAAATCAACTGCATAGCTTTCGTATCCAAATAAACTGCGTAGCGTTCGTATCGACTCATAGCATAATGAGAGAAGGGACGCAAGAACATGCAGAACCGCAAAAACCGCAAGAACCTGTGGCTACATGGACTAGCACTACATGCTGCAACGCGCCTTCATGCCTACTTGCAACCTGCGGGTTGGATCCTACTAGGAGTCCATTTGTTGATAGCATGCATAATGCTCAAGAAACGGCACTAAGTTTACAAGGTCTTGAGCTGTGGCATGATGCAAATTGGCTTTTACACTGTTGAAAAAGTCTTGGGATGACGAAATTTGCGGCTTCTACACTGCTCTTATGCAAAATAAGTATGGAATGCACATATTCACCAAGAAAAAGAAGGTGTATTGATGTGACAGACACTTGTTTATTGTTTTTTTTTTAATAATTCGGAATGCGTTAAATTCAGATTTCTTTTGTTGTCCCTGGAAATCCTACTTGATGAGATTTTACTGTTTCTTTTGATGTGAGGCTGTGCTTTTTGCTTGTTTCCTTGTTTCACTCCCTTCTGCTCCCCTCTTCCTAGCAGCTAGCCTTGTGCTGTTTGATCTTGAGCCGGCTAGCTTCCTCCAGTTTATCAAGGAAGCTTCTGTAGCGGCGGAGTAACAAGGAGTTTAGTCCCAACGTGCTGCCGCTGGGGTGGCAATGTGTTTCTTTGCATGCAATGGTTGACCTACTTGTTCAAATCGAGGAGAACTAACAAGTCTGGTAACGCATAACTCTCACCTTAAAATAGACGGCCATTCACGAGTGGAGTGTGGCCTAAAAGTGCTGTTCCGCAACAGTAGAAATAGATGGGCCAGTTTGTATGAGTTGTTCTGCCTGTGAACCAGTAGTCCCATGCATAGCAACTGGAGATGCATGGTATAACTGTGGTTTTAGCACACAAAGAAAGGCAAAGGAACACTCGACAAGCACTTGTCCTGTGTTCCTTTGTGGCTCTGTGACTGTTAAACGATGAAATTGGTTACATATTCTGGTTTTCAGCTCCAACCATAGATTGGCAAAACTCACTGAGCCTCACTCAGGAAATATATTTTGAGCTTTGAACTCACTCGAACTCGCACTCATAAAAATTATCTTCAGCCGAGCTCACTCGGACTCAAACTCACCAAAAAAGTTGGCAGATCTCACGTACAGTGGGAATCGATGATATGCGAAGCACAAAGAAAGGTTGATAATTATATTTATATATATATTTATACATACTGCAGCCCTATTCAGGGCTATTGCAGGAATGGGACGTTATATAATACTAGGCAACAGAAAAAAAATACAAACAAATAATACAAATTGTGAAGAAAGTACACTCGTAACAAAGCAAAAGTAAAAATGAAGTTAATTACGCGATGACGTAGATGTAAATGATGCCATACATGATTTCTGTGTCATGATTATCATGTTTGGATGTGTCGTTTACTTTGGTCATCTATTCACATCACGGGATACCAAATTCAGTATATGTGGAGGTAGTGAAATGGTCGCGAACACGATATTAGTGAAGTATGTTGTCATGTTTTTACATGCCACGCATGCCAGGATTATCACGTTTACACCAGTCATATATTTCATCATTCATTGACGTCAAGTAACACCAAATTTGGTATATGTGAAGCTAGCAAAACGGCCGTGAGCGCATCATGAAGGGCCCAATGTACTGCAACGTAGCGTTGACGCGCATGCACGCTGGGCACACCGATGCTACGTTAGCAAAACGCGAGAACTATATATTCTGACGGCAGGCACGACCGGCGCGACCAGCGTCCGTCGGCGCGGCCCGACGGCAACCGGCACGAAATTCGCATCAATGCCTTACCCAGACAACACTGCGTCTTCCCTCTTTTTGTGATGTAGGGACGCCGAACGCGCTGACACGCGCATGCATCAAAGCAACGCAGCGTGGCGCACGCCAGTGACTATATGGCAAAACCGGCGCCTGGCGTCGCAACACCGGCGTGACGAAATGAACGCCGGCGAGCAGGCACACCCTCTCGCATCGGAATGTATTGGCGCCTTGACTGTGGCATGTAGCCATGTTCTCACTTGACACGAATCTCATGATTATCATGTTTGCACCAGTCACATACCTTTGTCATCCATTCGCGTCATGTCATACCGAGTTTGTGCATGTGAAGCTAGCGAAACAGCCTCTAGTGCATCATAAGTGTTGCATGTAGTCATGTTACATCACACGCATCTCGTTTATCATGTTTGCACCTGTATCATACTTTTGTCATCCATTTACGTCTCGTAATACAAAATTCGGTATAAGTGAAGCTAGTGGAACAGCCACCAATGCATCATGAGCGTGGTATGTAGTCATGTTACATGACACGCATCTGATGATTATCATGTTTGCACCAGTCACATACCTTCGTCATCCATTCACGTACCTTAATACCAAATTTCGTATATGTGACGCTATCCAAACGGCCGCGAGCGCAACATGAGCGTGGCCTGTAGTCATGTTGTTACATGGCATGCATGTCATGACTTTCATGTTGCGGTTTGTCACTTATGTTTGCCATGCAGTCATGTTATACCGTACCAGTTTTGCAACATGTCATGCGTATGAAACCACTGCAAGAGCAGCAAGACCATGAAATGTAAATCATGACATTCACGACATACATGTCATGATTGCTCGTCATACTGTCATGTTATGCCACACCAAATTTGGTATCGATACTATTATTGAAACGGCCAGAAGAGCTAAACGTCGTAGGCGGCTAGATAGATAGATAGATAAATACGCTCAAGTTCGCCTAAGTTCGCTAAGAAATACGTCACGTAATACCAAAATTCGTGTATGTGAAGCTAGCGAAAGGGCCGCCAGCGCATCACGAGCGTGGTATGTTGTTGTGTTCTTACATGACACTCATGTCATGATTATCTTGTTTGCATCAGCCATATGCCTTCGTCATTCATTGAAGTCTCGTAATACCAAATTTGGTATATGTGAAGTTAGCCAAACGACTGCGAGCGCACCATGAGCACGGGGTGCAGTCATGACTTGTCATAACATGAAAATCGTGACATGCATGTCAGGATTTTCATGTTGGGGTTTGTCACTTATGTTCGCCATGCAGTCATGTCATACCGTACCAGTTTTGCAACATGTCATGTGTATGAAACCACTGCAAGAGCAGCAAGACCATGAAATGTAAATCATGACATTCACGACATACATGTCATGATTGCTCGTCATACTGTCATGTTATGCCATACCTAATTTGGTATCGATAACATTATTGAAACGGTCAGGAGAGCTAGAAGTCGTAGGCGGCTAGGTAGATAGATAGATAAATACGGTCAAATTCGCAGAAGTTCACTAAGAAATGCTTTGCATTTAAAAGATATATCAATAATGCAATTACCTAATGCTCATTTACTACAGATTATATAATGCAAATTCAGAAGAAATGCATTACAGCCAGAATAGCATGGCTCACCAACTTTGCATAGTTATTGATCAACCACAACTTTTTAACTGTGCCAGCACCTGAAATGGCAGATTTCTCACTATACATAAATGAAATTCTGAAGTAGCTGGAGTGAAATTTTCATCATAACATTTTTTAAAAGTTAATTTCCGCTAAAGTATACCGAACAATGTCGAAGAATCTTATTGGGTCAAAGCTGTACATAAATGAAAAAATACATGTGTCGTTGAGTTTGGAAGGTAGATGATACCATGAATTTTTTGCATCCGGCACCAGCCTTAATATAATTTTACCGGTCAGGTATGACAGCGGGCACAAGTTTATAATTTAGAATTAATAAAGCACTGGAATCGACCCTAATTTGCATGGCACGTTAGTGAGATATACTCATCGTCAGTGACAGGCACTCCCCCAGAAGCGAACAGTATGCTACGCACGGCGCGTCGGCATCCACAACTGGCGGCTGAGCAACTGTCCTTCGTACTGGGCCGGGAGGTTTCAGTTAATTTCACGTTTTTCCAGAAACCAGTGTATCGCTCATCAAAAAAAGTTACACCGAATAGAATTCGTGCTCGAACATTGTACCAAAGAATGTTTCGAATATGTCTGGTTTGCTTGTAACAGTAGAAAACTAAGCCATGTGCCATGTCACTTAGAGGAGCTAGAACTACACAGGTGCCACTGACACAACGCCCGACTCGTAACACATTTGCTATATTCCCCGCCATAAATCTGACCTCCAATTCGCATATGGCACTGAGGGAACAAGGGCAAATACGGATAGCGCTGATATTTACTCACCTTCTATTTAAACTTGAATAAGAAGCTGCACAGCCACAACACCCGTCCAACTTGCGAACAAAGGGCGAAGACGATGCGCAGATACGCGCAGTGGAAGGTAGAAGCACATGCTTATAGCTGCAGTATTTTTGATGATTTCTGTTCTTGTGCATAAGCACTTAGCAGCCGCTGCAGTTTTATGGGCTCTTGAGAATAATTGTCTTTCTGGATGCTTTCGTAGCATTAGGAAGCATGTATTTTTCTGTGGTGCAGTACGGCTGTACACAGGCTGAACTGCGCATCCACGGTAAGGAGTGTGAAATTCAAACACCACACTGTGCATTCGAAGGTAACGACTGAAAGAAATGATCATTCGTGGCTTATTGGTAGCTATTTGTTTCACTTCAATCTGTCAATTAATCACTTTTTTTTTCCTTTGCTCTCGAAAGAGTGTGAAGAGAAAATAGAGTGAGCACTTCACAGCGAAAAATCCACTAAAGAAACTGACACATCTGCTCTAACCGCTTCATTTTTTATAGTTTGTATGTGTTCGTGCACCACGAATTTCAATTGAATGGTATATAATACAAAAAAGTGTGTATACTTCATGGCCAGGCAAATTCCAAGGGAATTGGCCAGCAACCATGGTATGCGTCAGGAAAGGCCTTGGCCTCCATCGTAAATATTATTGAGAAGGGCTAATAACTAAGAGAAACGCATATTTAAAAGAAAGATGCGCCACTTTCGCTGTCTTCTTGCCCATAGTTATCTGGTAGGCCATGCCCTTTTCTACGACGCTGTCCGGGCATTGGCCAATGATAACGGAAGCTGATGGGAATCTAAGCTTTTTCCAATCATCCGCCTCTGCTGGAAGGGTGAGCAGAAATGAGACAGTTGCACATACTGTGCATTTCTGATAGGATTCTGTTTTCGTGCGTCAAGCTGCTCGAAGTGCATTAAAATTGCAAAAATTGTGTCAAACTGCTCCAGAACAGCTTCAAAAGCAAGAATTTTGGTGCCATCGTGGACCAAGTACCATCATAGGCCGTGTGACATTGTTGCTTGGATATAATAACTTAGCAAGAATTTGGTGTTTGTATTTGTGCACCAGTTCTACCAAGCATTTGATATTGGTTCAGTCTGTGCAGTCACTGCTGTCTCTATTTATATATCGATCTTTGTCTGCATGGATGGTTTCTCACAATAGGTCGCTCTGACAGCGATCACTTTATTTAGGCTATCTTTGTCTCCACGTTTTTTCTCGGTAAGCACCATCTTTGAGTTTATTCAGTTGCTGGGATAGATTGGAGTTTCTAGTGAAATTTGACATGTCTGGCCACATTAAAGCTTCACTGCTGGCCCACAAAGGGGGTGATCGAGCAGGACTTTGATTTTGGTATATGTGTACTGTGTTTCTCGGTCTTCATCTTTTTTCACGCTGTTTTTCCCAGGTAAAAAAGGGTTGGTGACTCAAAAATGTTCAATGAAAGCACTCTTCTCAGCCTCTGCATTGGAGGTATCTTAATTCTCGGCTTACATGTGATCTATTTTACAATCACTTTCCAGGTTAATTCAGTGGCATTAAAAGCAGTATTCAGGCTTTTGGGCACGAAGCCAGGAACTGCTACAAGCAAAGGAGGGAGGGTGCTTATAGAGTTAGTCTGTGCTTGTGGGAAATAATCAGATTGTTTCAACTTGATAATCTTGAGTAGTAATACTGAAGATTGGCTGCCATTTTAATCCACACATTTGCACACCTTGTGATTGAGAGGTTTAATATTGAAAGTCAGACAATGCTCTGATGCTTTTTCTATTCTTATTTCCGTATTTTTTCTATTGGGGTTACTCATTTGCACTGCTTCCGCATTTCCTTTGTTCTCTGCAGTCCTGGGTCAGGCTTGACGGGGCAGAGCCCACGCATTCCTCATCGGCCAGGAAAGAAGGCCGCACCCGCAGCTCCAATGTTGCCGCCACCACGAGATAGCAGCTCCATTTTCGTCGGATCCAGTCAGCCATTTAGCACAGAAGGCCGTGCTGGAGTGCCGTTGCCCATTGGTGGGGGAACTCTGGGCAGGCCACGACCGTCAGCCAAGCCACAGATTGCCGAAAAGCCAACCACACTGCAACGTCGCTCCCTTGAGGGTGTGGTCGAGGGAGGAGCCACAGTCGCGGGAGGCACTTACTCGACTCAGTCACTGGAACGCCGACCCGGGCGGCACCAGGTGCCAGGAGTTGTCATGCGACCGCAGCCGTGCGAGCGGCCCTCCGTGCCCCCACCGGAGCGACCCAAAACCGGAAGCCTCGAGAGCGTGAACCGCAATCATGTCCCAAAGGCCTCCGCAACTTTGTGCCGAGATGCCGAGAGGAATGGTGACATGATCAATGCTGGAAATGGCCATAGTGGCAAGAGTAGCCAGCAGCAGCAGGGTCATTACTCCAACAGTAGGATGGACCACAGTGCGGACAATGTTCTGGCGATGTCGGCTGACAGCGTGATGTTCGCTACGAGAAGCAAGGAAAATGGAACTGCCGATGGTAACAGTAGCAGCAGCAGCAGCAGCAGCAGTGAAGGTGCAAGGAGGAGGGAAGGCCCCGGAAGGCGTGGTTCTGGTGAGCGACCCTTGTCCTTGGACCACCAAGAGATGCTGTCGTTCGCGGACGAGTCTGACTCCGAAGACGGCAGTTCTGTTCTCGTGTCTCCCACTGGCAACGATTCTAATGGACCAAACGTCATGTGGAAGTCATGCATTGCCAGCCTTCCCAGTGAGGAGCACAGCACAGGACCTGTTCTTCTTCGACGTTCACCTTCCAAGACCAATGGTGTAGCGCCGGAACGCCCCCAGCCACCACAGATGTCTGGTTCTGGCGATGTGCCGTTGTTTCCCCGTCAACTGGATGATGCTCGCTGGAACTTCCTGACGGCATCTGAGGAGCAGCCGGTTCCTGAGCGACCCCCGAGGTCGAGCCCTTCCTCGGACACTTCAACCTTTGCGGGCATCTCGGAGACTAAGCCGTCGAGGCAGTCGCCTGTCATGGATGCAATTCACACGATGGGCCCTCCGCCAGACCTCATTACGTCTTCCGAACGACCAAAATCCGATCCATCTTCCCCTACTAAGAGCAAGCTGGAAGGCAGCTCACCCAGTCCTGTGTCGGTTATGCCGGAAGCAACTCGTCTGTGACCTGTAATAGTCCAGCTTTGAAAGACATTGTTTGTTATTACCCCTTCTATTTCTACCCCTTCCCCTGGGCACTGTCCAGCCTGTCTTACCTTCCTTCTTTTTGTTTTTCATCTACTGTATTCCTTGAAGGACACTGGAGACTGATGCGCAGACCTCGCAATACACATTTTTTCAAAGGTGTCCCGCTGGTTTTGAGCTTGCCGTGAGTGCAGCTCACGGGACACCTGGAATTATTTTCTATAGCCAGTTTTGTTCCTTTCGTAACTAGGTATTGTCAGGAAGTAATAGCAAGGTTTGTGGACATGCTTCTTGATATTGCACTAGAGGTGTGTGTGCTTTTGTAAGGTGCAGCTGACCGTGCTTCATTGGATGGGGTGAAGGCATAATAACATGCTACTGCATCCTGGTCCCCTTACGTAATGACTGCCACACTTTTTTTGCTCCTCTCCCAAGTGCAATCACTCAATCATAATTCAATCACGGGTTCGCAACTCAAGGACAGTAGTGCAGTCATGGGTTGGTGCAAGAAGCAGGTCAGGCTCACCAAAGAAAACTGCATCAGATGCTGTTTGTCGGGCTCAAGTATAATTTGTCGTCATGCCGTGGCTATTGTTAGTGTCAGTAAGCTTAATGAAAACCCTGGAACATCATTTCACATCCTTGTTTCTTTCTGAGGCAATTTAGTTTAATGTTACCGTTGTTTGACAATGTGGCACCTGTTTATTGAAGGAATTTTTTTGCAGTGGTCTGCTCTTAGCAACGGAATGAATTAGGGAAGCTAAAACATGGCAATTCACAGAAATTCTGGTGGAACTGTGCGATGCACTGTGAAACTATTTCGCTTCAAAGTCATAACAATCGGCACTGTTGTAACTACATCTAGCCACGAGTGTTGAAGATTGGGCGAGTTGGTTCGTCGTACTTGAACTGGTATAGCGCATTATGGGGAAGAGGAAACGGCCGAGCAGACCGGCACAAGAGGACAGAGCGCTAACTTCCAACTTCAGTTGGAAGTTAGCGCTCTGTCCTCTTGTGCCGGTCTGCTCGGCCGTTTCCTCTTCCCCATAATGCGCTATACCAGTTCAAGTATATCTAGCCAGATTTAGTTTGACTCTGTAACTATATGTGTAAATTTTTTAGACAAAACAATACTGCTTCGTTATAGAGCTGCAAGTCTACTAATACATGAGGGAAGCTCAACATAATCCTTGTAAATCGAAGTGTCATTTACTTTTCTTGCAGGTGTATAATGTGTTTATTCGAATGTTGCAGGAAACGTATAGGTATTGCACCAAGAGGTTTAATATGCCCCTATAGCTTTCCAAATAGATATGTGATGAAGTTATAGACCTCATTTTCTTGCGCGTATAATCATAAGAGAGTTATTATTATAAACATGCATTTCTATTGCAGCTGCGCAGTCCAGTAGAGAAAAATTGGATCTGTTGATTTGTTTCGGGTAAGCTGCAGATACCACAAAGCAGGTGCAACTCCGTTGATATGAACTTCCATGTAATATGGATGCTGCCAGTAGTGTAAAGCTACTAGTCTGCACTGTACCTGTTGTACTGGGAAACTGCTATGGTGTGTTTTAGTGTATGAAAGGTTTAAATTAAAATTGATGTTTAAAATAGTTACAAGCAAGCCATTGGAAGAGCACTTAGTTGAGCCTCTTTGCAACAAAGTTTTATTTGAATCAAAAATGGCTTTGATACATCTGAAAATTTGTAGTCAATGTATATTGTTGACTATTGATGCATAGAGTGTTCTTAAATAATTTCACTATAACCAATAACTCGTTATATGACCATTCATTACATTAAGACTGACTGCAGTAACATAAGTCTGAATGCGCATCTTGTGGCATGTTTCTGAATCTTTTGCTTCTTCATAGTTTAGGAGTGGTCAGGTGTGCGTCGTCGTTGCACTGCGTGTTTATGTGGGTGTTTGCTCCAAACGTTGCTGTGATCCTGTTAGAGGGCTGTTCACGGTGGTAACATTTGTTTCGACGTTTGCAACTGAAGCGTTTGTCTCTCACTGTGCAAGTCTTGCACCCACTATTCACCGGGCTTAGAGGTTTATCGAATGGCTGAGTTTCTCGGCAATTCCTTTCCTTTTTTTTCCTCTCGATGGTCACAGTTTAGCCTAGGTTGTCCCCCAACTTGAGCTTGTCGCTTTTTTTGGATCACCGGCACATTGATGTCCCATGTATAACTTGTCCTATGTTGCGAGTTGATTGTGCTATGAGATAGATGTCTTGTAACATTGAATCCAAGAAAACAGTCATTTAGACTTCGTGCCCAATACGCAAACCACATTCTTTAATGTTAAGCTCGTCCCTATGTATTCTGGTACTAGGGTGGCACTGCACGAACAACACCATGTTTGTGGGTTTATCCTTGACTGACTTAGATGGTCAGTGCAGAGTTGTGTTTCCACAGTGTAGTTCTTATTTTGTTTTTTGGCACGTGGTGTGTGTACTTTCTCAACCATAATGGTTAAGGCGTGTCATTACAAGTTGAGTTCTGTTGACATGATGGTTGCTGCATATTTTTGTCGACTACAGATTGAACCTTATCCACTAAGGTGTGATGGCACTAGTCATCGACAGGAAGGGATCATGAATAAATGAATGAATAATCTTTATTTAAAGCCCAGCAGTGTCCTTTGGGCGAGGTGGGGGGAAAAGGCGATGAACCCCTGTCCCTTCCCACTGTTTTTTTTTGTAAAAATATTTGTGTTGAGATATTTTTGTCTAAAGTGTGCTTTTTCTTTCTTTTATCAATCTAAGCAGAGTTAGTGGATGAAGTTTGCCTGCATGGTTCACCAAACTTTACAGAGTATAACTTAACAGCCCAACCAGCAAGCTGACTTCCTGTGGGGTTATCTACAGACAGTAATTTTCACTGCTGCATAAAGATAAGAAAAATCTGCAGTTCTTTTTTTTTCATGTTATTGGCTTCTTTGTTTGCTGGGTAAATTTCTGCAGTTGTTGGTATTTTTTGGTTATTTCACATCGACAACGTGTTTTTGTGCAACGCTGCTTGGAATTTCTCGCTTACTGAAGATCATCGTGTTGTTGACTGCCTGTGCATCTTGTTCCTTCGCTCTGTTTTCTGTATATTGCAATGCTAGTCATCGAAACGTGGCGATGTGAATTGTTCTTCCTTTGGAGCAGCATACGCTCACCGCAGGCGGTCAGTTATGGCACTTAAACCGCTAAACAAAGTGTTTAACAAAACCTAACAAGCTTCTTTGTCCCTATAAGGGAGAACCTCCTGCAGTTTTTTGTGGAATCGCAATGTTGAAGAAGATGGAAGAACATCTGTGTGCATGTGTATGTTTGGTTATACTTTTTTTGTTACAATCCTGCACCGATGTATCCAGAGTGCGCCATTTTCTTTTTTTGATCATACACATTTGATTGAAGGTGACGCAGGTGCTGTTGCTATTAAAATTGTTTGAAAGTTGATCTTGCTGTTAGTTCTTTACTTAAAGCGACAACAAAGCCATGTGTATGCATGAATTAATCAAATATTGTCCCAGAAGCCTAGCTATTGTGGTGCTTGTTGTTTCATGCCAAAGTTTAGTTTGAAAGTAAAGCACATTTAGCAGTCCGCACACCGTTCGGGCAATTCAGACTGCCCGCCATGGAAAGTCCCTGTGACGCAGAGTTTACCTTGCCCGCCATTTAGTGCCCGACAGCTGGCGCTGCGGTTTATAGCGTGATTTATTGCGGGAAGGAACAGGCAAAAAGGGAGGTCAGGGGGCCGCAGTGTCTGGCCACAGCACGGAGGCTCCGGGAACATACAGCTCGGTGGCGCAGCAGTCTTCAAGCAGGGAAGAAACACAGGACAGACGGCAGAGAGAGAAAAAGGTGAAGCAAACAGGGGCGCCATCACAAACAGGAAGCCAGCGATTGGAGCTTAGAAGGGTCCTAGTGGTGGGGGACTCTAACGTGGCCAGGGTTAGGGATGGCGTCGTCAAGACAGTGAAGGAAGATCGGAGAGTCAGGGTGGAGGCACAGTCATGGAGGAGCATGGTGGATGCATTGGCCAAAGCTCAGGAGGTTGTAGAAAACAGCATGGAAGGCGAAAACCTAGTCATTATTCATGCTGGGTCAATGATGTGTTAAAGGGCAAGGATCAGAACCTCCAGAGAAAGAGAATGGAATGCGTAAGCTCCGATAAGCCTCTGGGAGTGTGCATGTGACCATATGCACAGTCCCAGAGGTCTGGGGGCAGCCCCGTGGGATTGAATAGAAGGGTAGTGGAGGCCAATTGTGTGATCAAGGGTTTGAGCTGGCAACTCGGATACAGCGTGATGGAAGTTAACCACGACGTGTACGAGCCCGACGCTTGCCCCTTTGCACAGGATGGCATTCACTACAGTGGTGCGACTGGCGGGAGGGTAACAGAATGGGTCGCCAAGCCATAGCTTTTTTAGGGGGACCCAGAGCCCTGAGGCCAACAGTGTAGCCAAAGACGGACCTAAAGGGGCACAAATATTCAAGCCTCACGAAGTCCGTGGGAGAAGAAATCGACGTAAGCAAAAGGGCTGAGCTAAGTCAGACGTAGGCTATATTAACTTGCAGGCTGGCAGGAATAGGTTAAGGTGGGAAGAGATAGAAGAGCAGTTGAGGCAGGAGGAGCTGATGGTATATGGTGTTGTGGAGACACATCTTCGGGACCTGGAGCAACCACCCTGCAATCCGGACTACGTATGGGAATATTGCAATAGAACAGAAGGCAGCAAAAAGGGGGGTGGAAATAGTGCATTTTTACATAAGAGCATGGGTTGGCAAAGAGTCAAGCAGGTATGCAAGGAACATTTATGACTGAAAGGGAAAGTGGCAGGGCAAATGGTTTCGTGTACTTGTGGTTTCGTGTACTTGTGGATGAGAGTGAAGGCCAGAGAAGACAACCAGGCAATGGTAGAGTGTATATCAAATGACATTCAGGAGTTAGTAGGAGAGTGCGAGATAATTATACTAGGAGATATGAATGCACACATAGAAGATATAGATGGTTATACTGACTCAACAGGCAAAATGATCATGGATAGGTGTGAAAGGCATGATTTGATCATTTGCAACAGTACCGTGAAGTGTGAAGGGCAAATAACATGGGAGGTAGGAAGGCTGCAGTCAACAATAGATTACACACTGATGTCACATAGGATGTATGATAAGCTCAGGGGAATGCACATAAATGAAGGTGGCTCCAGAAGTCTGGGTAGTGGACACAAACGTATCAAGCCAAGTTTTGGAAGAGCAGCGAAAGTGGGAAGGAGACAAGATGAGCAACTACAGAAAAATTTTCATTCAGAAAAGTAAATAGAAATTGCTACTAAACAAATTGAGAAAAAAATGACTAAGGATAACAAAACTGTGTGGACATGCACAAATCTAATTAGACGGTTTGGGCTAGAGCTTGCTAAGGCACGTGACAAGTCACCCTGGAAAAGAAGACACAAACCCAAGAGCTGGTGGGATGAGGAAGTTAAGGGAGCCATAGCAAAACGTCAGGAAGCCTCTAGGGAACACAGACATGCTAAGCGACGGGGTGAACCAACAGATGATGTTGAAAGAAAATGGGAAATCTTCTAAGGTCTAGAAGACAAGCATCCCTCCTGATCAATGAAAAGATTAGAAGAAAGGGTGCTCAGTGGCTTGCAGAAGTACACAAAAAGGCCAAAGGCAGCTGCGAAATTCTCGAGCCATCTAAACTCTCTAAGAAAAGAAACAAACCTAGAGCAGAGGTTTATAACTACAGCTCAAGGTGCTAGGCTAGAAGGGGACGAAGCTATTGAATATATAAGAACAAGGGTGACAGAAAAGTTTTAACAAAGAAGTGCCTTATGCACCACAATAGACAGGTATGGATCAAGTGGCACAATGGCTCCATTTTCACAACGAGAATGGGAAAGGGCTGAGAGGAGGGTTCCAAGTAGTACATCAACAGGCCCAGATGGCATTCCAATTATGCTGATAAAAACATTGAGTCCGAAGTCTAATGAGAAAGGCAGGGAGCAGAACAATAATCGATGGGGAAGTCCCTGATAGATGGAAACTTAGCAGGTTGAGCATGATATATAAAGGAAAAGGGGACAAAAATGACATGAACAACTACCGTCCTATAACAGTGACATCAGTGGTCTACAGGCTGGCGATGCAGATTATAAAGGAAAGACTGCAGGCATGGATAGAGGATGAGGGGGTGCTGGGTGTAGTAGCCAACGTATGACGCGCCGTACTGACGTCACAGGCTACGTCATGTGCCTGTACTTATATTGGCATGCGAGCCGCTTGCTTAGAACACATTAAACCGCCACCAACTGAGTCCAGCGTCGCCTTGCTCGCCGGCCACAACAGATGGCGACGAGGATGGGATAGGCTGCGCCGGACGACGGGGGCGGATCCTGTGAGCAACGACAGCTGGAAGGCGAAAGGCAAGGTACGGCGAAGATGTGGGAATTTGACGCCTTCATAGAAGAAGGAGGCGAAGATTTCGCATCGTATGTAGAACGGTTTGGGCACTATTGCAAAGTAGCCGGCGTACAAGACGAAGAACTTAAAAAGTCAGCCTTCATCTCTGCCATAGGAAAGAAAGCGTACAAGACGCTCAAGGACCTTCTTCTACCTGCAAAACCTGAAGAGAAGACGTTCGAGGACTTGGGGAAGGTGCTGAGTGGCCACTACGAGCCTTCAAGTCAAGTCATTGCGGAGCGTTTCCAATTCAACAGGAGGTACCAAGGAGAAGGGGAGTCCGTCGCGGCATTTGCAGTCACGCTGAAGCACATGGCAGCCAAGTGCAACTACGGTACGTTTCTCGACGACGCTTTACGGGACCGGTTCGTCGCTTGGTTACGGAATTCCACCATTCAGACGGGTTTACTGAAGAGGAAGGAACTGACGTTCGAATCGGCCTGCGTTTTTGCTAAGAGCGTTGAGCTAGCGGAGCGGGAGTCGAGGGGATTCCGACCAACTGCGAATACGTATGCCGACATTCACGCTCGGGGAAGGAACCGGAGTTTGCCAGCAAGCCGAAGAACAGTTCAATGCAAAGCTGCTATCGATGCGGTCAAGAGCACGACGCGCGTTGCTGCCGTTATCGTAAATTCAAATGCCATCTTTGCAAGCGCGTGGGACATTTGGCGCGCATGTGCAGATGCAAGCAACCGGCGCCTGGCACCGTCCACAACGTGAGTGACGAAGCGAGCGGAGGCACAGAGCTGCTGCTGCACGGTGTGTATCTGGTGGGCACGGAACAACCATATGAAGTTGAAGTACAGATAGCCGGCCAGCTTGTGAAGATGCAAGTAGATATGGGCGCAGCCGTATCACTCGTTCCGGAATGCGTTTACCGGCAGCTAAAGCAGCCGCCGCAGCTTGCGAAGTGCGAGATGAAGCTCAAGACTTACGGCGCAGCGACGCTACAAGTGAAAGGCCAAGCGGAGCTCTTGGTCGATTATAAGGGACAGCGGAAAGTCCTGCCAATCATCGTGGTACCAGGAGAGAAGCCAGCACTCCTAGGCCGCGACTGGATTGCGAACCTCGGAATGGACCTAAACAGCATTCACGAGGTGCACGCACAACCGTCTGTCGACAGCATCCTGTCAAGGTATGCCAGCGTTTTTTCACCTGGTTTAAGGGTTGATAAAGGGTTACCAAGCAAAACTGGTGCTTAAGGAAGGAAGCATGCCAGTCTTTTGCAAGGCGCGGTCTGTGCCGTATGCCATTCGTGAACCTGTCGATCATGAGCTAGGCAACTTGCAAAAAGAGGGCGTACTGGTGCCCGTAACTCGCAGCGACTGGGCCACGCCGCTGGTAGCTGTTCACAAGCCAGATGGCACAGTACGATTGTGTGGAGACTATAAATTGACGGTGAATCCATGTGTGAAGACCGACCATTACCCACTGTCCGCGGTGGAGGATTTGTTCACGACACTGGCTGGGGGCAAGGTTTTCACCGTTCTGGACCTTTCGACGGCATATCAGCAAATCGAGGTGCACCCTGATTCGCGACCCTTGCTGACTATAAACTCTCACATGGGGTTGTTCCAGTATGTTCGAATACCGTACGGAATCTCAAGTGCACCTGCAGTTTTCCAGGCAATCATGAACGAGCTGTTGAAAGGACTACCGGGAGTGGTATGCTACCTCGACGACGTCCTCATCACGGGAGCATCGCATACCGAATGCCTGGCCCGGGTGGAAGCAGTCCTGCAGGTTTTCAGGGACCACGGCGTAAAAGTGAGAAAGGAAAAATGCAAGTTTTTTTTAAATTCTGTCAAATATCTTGGGCATATCATTGACGAAAATGGTGTGCACCCGTGCGTCGAGAAGGTTGAAGCCATAAGGGAAGCACCCACACCTAAGAACATCAGTGAGCTTAAAGCGTACCTCGGAATGATAACTTTTTACTCGAAGTTCATGCCAAACATGTCTTCGAAGCTAAAGCCTTTGTATGCATTGCTTCAGAAGGATAAGAAGTGGGTCTGGTCCGCAAAAGAAGAAAAAGCCTTCGCGGAGAGTAAGAGCCTCCTTACGCAAGCGAGCGTGCTATGACCCAAAGAAGCCTCTTGGATTAGTCTGCGACGCCTCTCCTTACGGGGTTGGCGCAGTGTTGTTTCATGTCGTGAACGGGGAAGAAAGGCCGATAGCTTATGCGTCACGCACCTTGAGCAAGGCCGAAAGTGGCTACGCACACATAGAAAAGGAAGCGTTGGCTGTGATTTTCGGAATCAAACGGTTTCACAAGCATCTTTACGGCCGTGAATTCACCATTTATTCCGATCACCTTCCCCTGGAGGGACTGCTGGGGCAAACAAAGCCAATTCAGCAAACGGCAGCAGCACGCATGCAGCGCTGGGTGCTAGTGCTAGCTGCATATCGCTACAAATGGGTGTACAGAAAGCGAGCCCAAGTAGCAAACGCGGACGCGTTATCGCGATTACCGCTTCCGAACGACACCGACGAAAGCGACTACGTTCACTTCTTTTCAGCAGTAGAAGCCGTACCACTATCTGCGAAAAGGATCAGTGACGAAACCCAAAAATACCCAGTTTTGTCTAAGGTGCTAATGTATGTTTTGAATGGATGGCCATCGTACGTGTCAGAAGACAACGTAGACAACGTAGCCCCATTCTTCTCGCGGAAAGACGAACTGTCGGTAGACTGTGGTTGCATAACATGGGGAACTGAGGTTGTTATACCTGAAGCGGAACAATCTGAAGTCTTATCGCTTTTGCATGAAGGGCATCCAGGCATCACTCGCATGAAAATGCTATCAAGAAGCCATGTGTGGTGGCCAAAGTTGTGCGACCGCATTGAAGAAACTGTAAGAGGTTGTTCAACTTGCCAACTAACGCCGAACTCTGCGCCCCACGTGCCGATGTTATCGTGGGGATGGCCAACCCGCAGGTGGCAGAGAGTTCACCTGGATTTTGCCTACTACAAGAACGACTGGTTTTTAGTGCTTGTCGATGCGCACTCCAAGTGGGTGGATGTTCTGCACATGAAGTCCACTACAGCACAGGCGACAGTTGAAAAACTCCGCACTGTTTTTGCTGCATTTGGGCTTCCCGAGAGAATTGTGACTGACAATGGGCCGCAATTTGTGTATGCTGGATTCACAAATTTTCTCAACTCCAATGCAGTGAAGCACACCAATACACCACCTTACCATCCAGCTTCAAATGGCACGGCGGAGAGGCTTGTCCAGACCGTCAAGCGAAGCTTCATCAAACAGCTACGGGACGAGCAGAACACGGGAGTGACTCGGACGATGCAACATCGGGTAGACCAGTTCCTGTTCACCTACCGAAACACACCGTGTTCGACGACCGGTAAGACGCCAGCCGAACTGTTTCTCTCATGGAGGCCACGCACGAGGCTGAGCATCTTGCATCCGGAGCTAGCGAAACGTGCCGAAGCAAATATAGCTTGAAGACAGGGTCAGGAAACCCATACTTCATGGAGGGAGTTCGAAGTTGGCGACAACGTTCGTGTGCGAGGAAACCGACCGAGTGATCCACGTTGGTTGGAAGGAACAGTTGTGCGACGAGTTAGCAAAGGAACATACATAGTCCGAATCGAAGACCACGAGCGCTTTCTGCATGCGGACGATATTGTTCCTAACACATGCCTTGCTCCTCTTCCCAGAAGCGTGTGGATTCCTGAGCAAACCCGTATGGCACAGCCGGGTTCCACTCCGTCACAAAGCGACAGCGACATCGCATCGCCGCCGGACGAGCCTCCACCAGAGCAACAACTTCCGCCACCTGACAGAGCCAGCGTGACGGAACTGCCATCACAGCAGGCGCCTGACGCCAGCTCCCAAGAAAACGTCGTGCCACCTCAATTGCGACGAAGCACAAGAATTCGAAAGCCTCCCGAACGTTTTGGCTATGCTGCTAAATAAAGGGGGAAGAGATGTAGTAGCCAACGTATGACGCGACGTACTGACGTCACAGGCTACGTCATGTGCCTGTACTTACACATTAAACCTTCGCCACCAACTGAGTCTAGCGTCGCCTTGCTCGCCGGCTACAACACTGGGGTAACTGCAGAATGGGTTTCGGAAACAGAGGAGGTTGGAAGACAATCTGTTCTCACTGACGCAGTGCATCGATATAGCAGAAAAGGAACACAGGCCCCTGTGGCTAGCATTTTTGGATATCATGGGAGCGTACGATAGCGTGGTTCAAGAGGACGTGTGGGGAATACTAGACACACTGGGTGTGGAAGATGGAGTTACTAATCTTTTAAAGGAAATCTATAAAAGTAACAAGGTAGTTATAAAGTGGGAAAAACAGGTATCCAAGCCTGCAGAGGTAAAACGGGGGCTTAGGCAGAGGTGCCCCCTGTCACCCTTATTATTCATGATGTACCTACAAGGATTAGAGGCAAAATTAGAGGGAAGTGGACTGGGCTTCAACCTCTCTTTAGTCAAACAAGGAAAACTTATTGATCAGGCACTACCAGCATTAATGTACGCAGATGATATAGTGCTAATGGCAGACAACAAGGTAGATTTGCAGAGATTGATGGACATCTGCGGTAATGAAGGAGATAGGTTAGATTTTAGATTATGTAAGGCAAAAATCTGCAATCATGATTTTTAATGATAACCAAGGTAGCGAGCTTAGAATACAGGAGTTCACGCTAAAGATAACTGATAAATACAAATATCTGGGCGTATGGATGAGCGATGGGACCGAGTACCTAAGGGAACACGAAATATACGTGACGACTAAAGGTGACAGGAAAGCAGCAGTGATGAAAAATGGGGCACTGTGGAATTACAATAGGTATGATGTTGTGAGAGGAATATGGAAAGGGGTCATGGTTCCTGGACTGAGGTTCGTCAATGCGGTCTTGTGCATGAGATCAGAAGTTCAAGCAAGAATAGAAATTAAGCAACGTGGAATAGGTAGGCTTGCTTTAGGAGCTCACGGGTATACACCAAATCAGGGAGTACAAGGTGATATGGGATGGACATCATTTGAGGGCAGGGAAGCTAGCAGCAAGATAAAATTTGAGAAGCGATTGAGAGAAATGGGGGAGGAGTGTTGTGCTAGGAAGGTTTTCAGCTACTTGTACGCGAAGAATGTCGATACAAAATGGAGGAAGCGAACCAGGAAATTGACTGGTAAATACTTAGAAAACAGCAGGTGGCCAATTCAAGGAGAACTATCGGTTAAGAAGAAAGTGGAGGAAACGGAGACCAATATGTGGAGAATTGGCATGATTAAGAAGCCCATACTAGAGATCTACCGAACTTTCAAGCAGGAAATTGCAAAGGAAAGGATCTATGACAATACTCGGAGTAGTTCTCTACTGTTTGAGGCCAGGACGGGAGTATTGCGAACCAAGACATATCGGGCCGAATACGAAGGGGTAGACACAATACGCAGTGCGTGTGGAGAGGAAGAAGAAACTGCCGAACACTTGATAATGTTCTGTAAAGGGCTTCACCCTATAGTTCAGAATGATGGCGCAGAGTTTTTCAAAGCGCTGGGGTTTAGGGACAGGGAGGGCAAAATAGACTTTAAGCGGGTAGACTTAACTAGAAGGAGGTTATCTGATTGGTGGCTAAAGTCAAGGCACGAGTGAAAATTAAACCCTTCACTGCAAAGTACGAATCCTCAACCTCACTACTTAAAGGGGAAAATAGATAAATCTAAAGGTTAGTTCACTAAGTATTACGGCTAGGTGGCGTTAGCCACCTAGCCGTAATACTACCGCCCCATCTAAAGGATACAGTCACATCCATCCATCCATCCATCCATCCATCCATCCATCCATCCATCCATCCATCCATCCATCAATCCATCCATCCATCCATCCATCCATCCATCCATCCATGATAATGAAAGAAAATACCCCCGAAACTTGGCCGCGCCAGTGCAATGCAGCCTAACTAAACTTAAGGTTTGGTGAAGTGGTATATCGCTTGTGGTAGCATAAAGGCACTAAAATAAATATTCGTTCAGGTGTAGAGACAGGACAAGCGCCAACATTCATCTAACTTTATTTGAGGCTTTGCCAGCAAATATCTACATAGAAGCAATAAAAGTTTATCCAATCCAATCTACATAGAAGCGGACATGCGCAGTAAGACAAGTGCATTCATAATCGCGTAATGCGAAATCGTAAAAGAAGCGTTCACACCGGCTCGTTTACACCGAAGGCGGGGGGCAGCGCGGAAAGCGGGAAAAACCTCCTCTCCAGGCGGCGAAAGAGAGAGAAAAACCAGGCGGCAAGGCCGACCGCTCTCGGAGCAATTTATTGCCGCCTGCCGAGGGTCGCCGCTTTGCCGCAGCCAATCAGAAAGCCACGCAGTGGAGGCGTAGTGGTGGCGCGAGTATACGTTTGGGAGAGGCACTGACATGTCATAGCGACACGTGCGCAAAATCGCGAGATGCCCGCCTCTTCTGCCGCGCGGCCAGACGAACAGGCACTGCGCCGTGTCGCCCATAGGCAGACCGAAATTAGGTGACTTCTTCCTTTTCCTTACGAAACACTACCACCTACTACCAGACGAAGTAAGCATGCGGTCTGAACAGGTTCACGCACTCGCCGCTTCGGAAATCCCGCTTCGCCGCTTTCGGTGTGAATGAGCCTTATCTCCTTTTGCGGTGATCCCATACCGACCTCTGCACACAACGCCACATTCGCCTCGCAAGAACTCACTCAGTGAACAGCCAAATTGATCTTCACGCACTCGAGATCCCGTAACTGTTCTTCCGCTTGGTAATTAATGCAACCACAGGCGTGACCTGTATAAGACGTCAGACTCTGACCAGGCAGCGCTGCAAAATACGTCGCCATCAGCGCTCTCATCTTCGCCCTCACCGTAACTGGGTAGTGCAATGAGAACCCCCCTCCCCCCCCAAGCGAGTGCACAGACCACTGTAGAACCCCTGCACTTTCGGCGATGAGGTGAGGTTTTCTGAAAAAAAAAAACGCAGCATATTCACGGGGTCAATAATGATGAGGGGGCGAAGCACCTGAGGAAAGCGTCGGTAAATCCTGAATCTTCCGTATAATTCACCGAGTCGATCATCATTTAAAGACGCGAGAAACGCTGTGTGTGTATGCCGTGCCGCTTGGGCTTCCCGCTCTCGTACGGCAGGATCTTGGTAGCGGTCGCGCAGCTTCCCTACAGTGGCACGAATAGGAAAGTGTGATGAGCGGCAAGCGGCGCCTACGGAGCGTACTGAAGCCTCCGGGGAGGAGCCGCGTGGGGGCGCGCGCGCTCGTTTATACGTTTATAAAAGTCCGCACTAGAGATCTATCGAACATTTGCGCAGGAAATTGCCAAGGAAAAGATCTATGATAATACTCGGGGTAGTTCTCTACTGTTTGAGGCCAGTACGGGAGTACTGCGAACCAAGACATATCGGGCCAAATACGAAGGGGTAGACACAGTATGCAGTGCGTGTGGAGAGGAAGAAGAAACTGCCGAACACTTGATAATGTTGTGTAAAGGGCTTCACCCTATAGTTCAGGATGATGGCGCAGAGTTTTTCAAAGCACTGTGGTTTAGGGACCGGGAGGGCAAAATAAACTTTAGGCGGGTAGACTTAACTAGAAGGAGGTTATCTGATTGGTAGCTAAAGTCAAGGCACGAGTGAAAATTAAACTCTTCACTGCAAAGTACGAATCCTCAACTCACTTTTTAAGGAAAAAAAATAAATATAGTTTTTGGTTCATTACGTATTACGGATTGGTGGCGCTAGCCACCGCCCGATCTAAAGGGTACAGCCATATCCATCCATCCATCCATCCATCCATCCATCCATCCATCCATCCATCCATCCATCCATCCATCCATCCATCCATCCATCCATCCATCCATCCATCCATCCATCCATCCATCCATCCATCCATCCATCCATCCATCCATCCATCCATCCATCCATCCATCCATCCATCCATCCATCCGACGTTTATACGGGTTCAGTTCGGGCTGTCACGGTGGATGGACGTGTTTTTTGAGCGCTCCGGATCGACTGCGCAGATAAGTGTTTTTGCATGTTTTGAGCTTGTCTTTATAATTCTAATGCAGCGGTTGAAATCTTCGTAGCATTTATTTTATGGTACGGCTTTTTCGGAGCCAGTCACCAGGTATTTATTAGTTAGTGCGGGTGTGTGTGTTTGAATTTTTTTTCTTTTGCCACCTCGTGGGGGAGTTGCGCGTACATTGGACACGCAAACTTTTGTAGTAGAGCTTAGACTTTCTTTTTTTTTCGTAGTGCAGGGCTAGAGTTTAGTAATTATCGATTATAGGGACAATTGGTGTCAGAAAGACATGGCTAAAAAGACTGTAAGGTGTTCAGGA